AAAAAAAAAAAAAAAAAACAAGAAAAACTAGAGGTAGATTCATTCACTTTTGCTCATCCTATCGACATGCACACACACACACAAACTTGCAGGGAAGAGAATGACATGAACACAAAGCAGAGGAACAGCAACGAGAGAGAACGAAGAGGGCGAAATCGAATTCAAATTCCAAGCGCCTCACTGCTGCAGGGCCGTGCAGGGTCAGTACAGGAAGATGGCTGCCCCTCATGAGGGCATATGGCGCAGAGCCCAATGGAATGGGACTGCCAGTTGAGGGAGTGCGTCCTGGAAAGTTGCGCCCACTACCGACAGGGGCCTGCCGAAAAGATTTTTAGGCCCAGGTGCGCGACAGGGTAAATCGACCGTCGGAGGGGCACGACGCAAAATAATGGAAAATACAGGGGTGCCTGACAAATTTTCCCTAAATTTTATTCTGTAGTTGTCTTTAGTACATTTAGTAATTGTGAATCTTTCCAGTAGAAAAGAGACTACTGCCATGACTGTTGGGGCTGTTTTCTTTTTGCGGTAATTAGGGTGCAGTCACGATTTCAGTTTTAAATCCAGTTCAGGCATCCCTCGAATACAACGCATCCCCACCGGACACTTAAGCTGGGTTGTATACAGTCATGATTTTCCTCAGTTTGACACAACATTCACGAAATCGTGACTGAAACGCATTTTCAAACTGAAACCGTGACAGCACCCTAGTTTTCCTTTTCTTTTTTTTTTATATTGTGAAAAAGCAAGTTGCTGTCAGTTGATGACACTGATCCCGCACACTGCCCTGCCGACACGTTGTGTGTTTGTTATCTGACATTACTATGATTTATGAACAGGCCATCGGATGCTGACGAGGAATGGAGTGGATTTCACAGGATGGATTTGGAAGATGTGACCAATTTCATCATGGAGGAGGGAAGGGCCTTCTGGGCAGCTAGGTCGGTGGTGTCGGACAGAGTTATGGAAGCTGAAGGTTCGGCCAGTGGGACAGGACGCGAGCAGACTACTCTTTTGGATGGCAGCGTCCCGCAATCTGTGTCTTCGAGTGCCAAGATGGGAGAAGAACCTTCGCTGGCCGTGCTTTCTTTATTCGAAGAGATGAGCGAGGAGTTCTCATTCATAACTGCCTCACCGATTGCAACTGCCGCTGTCGATGATGATTTCCCAGAACTTCAGCACGGCGGGCGCAAGGTGGAAGAACTTGTTAGCACTCTAACTTCTCCTAAGGAAGCAGGTGGTGCCACTTCGGCGATCGGCATCGACAATTTGTCGAATGGGGCCAACAACAACTGGGCACCGGAATGGCCGTCTCTCGATAAACCCAGCTAAAGGGACCTCAGGTCAGGCTTGGAGCCAACAGGACGGGCCCAGGATTATGTCAAACACTGAAGGGTGTTCCTAGGCTGATGTTGGGAGGACCAGGTTCTGAAAAACAGGATGTATTCTGTTAATCGAGAAGAAAGCAAAAGAAGAGGAGGGAAAGGGGAAGGGAAAGGGAGGCAGGGGGGGGGGGGGGGAARAAAATTTTWTTTWTTTWTTTWTTTTTACCGAGAGTCCGCTACAAAGGGGGGGGGGAAGATGTTGAATACTTAAAAGCTGGAAAGTCTCACTCAAAGTGAAAAACATGATGTGAAAGGTGAACGGTGGGAGAAATTTTTATTTATTTATTTATTTTTACTGAGAGTCCGCTACAAGGGGGGGGGGGAAGATGTTGAATACTTAAAAGCTGGAAAGTCTCACTCAAAGTGAAAAACATGATGTGAAAGGTGAACGGTAGGAAGTACTCAACAGCAAGAAACCATGCAAAAAAAAAAAGAAAAAAAGAAGAAAAGAAAAGAGAGAGAGAGAGAGAAGATCCATGCTGCCGAGGCCTGAAGCCTCACCCAACACCATATCTGGACTTAAGTAAAGGGAGCATCACTCTTTTTTTTTTCCTTTTTTTTTTTTTTTTTTTTTTGTAGAAAGCCCAGGTTGTTTTAGAAGCCGGACTCCGGAGACACAGGGTTAGCATCATTCTTTTGCACTTTGTTGTTGGGCAAGCTGTCGGATCGATGATGCCGACGGGAATGTTCATGTGGGCCTCAGGGAAAAGCTAGTAATCAGGCTGAGGGAGGGTGTAAAGTTGTAAACTACTGATGGAGGGGTCAGGTTAGTAACCTAATCTGAAGTTAATCAGTCTTTTTTTTTTTTTTTTACACATCTAGATGTGTATAAGAGACAGGAGTAATAGAGAGTATGTATCACTACAGTTGCTGTTGAAGGTAAAAATGGATGTTGATTCCTAAGTGTTCTGATTGATGGCAGAAAAGTGGGAGAGTAAGTAAGCATTGGAGCTGCTGGAATAACAGACACAACGAAGATGATGGTGATCATGACACTGATGATGAGGATGGTATAAATTGTCCGCCAGCTGGACGTCAATGATGCGACTACTCTACTCAACGGCTTCGGCACCCTCTATGTCTACCTCCCACAGTCTAGTAAAACGATGACTCTGGTTTGTTTTTTTTTTTTTTTCCCCTTTCAAAACTCGCTCTACCGCTACGAGGGGTGATAAGAGCACCCCCTTCTAGCGGATTGCCAGGTTGCTCCAAGCTATTGGTTGGGACTCAGGAGCTACACCTGCTGGAAAGCGGGGCCAGCGTCCCTTGGAACAATTAAACATCCGAACACACAGGCTCCCTGCCAGCATTGATTACCCTGCAACCAGTGGGATTGACTGAGCAGGTAAGAAAAAGTATATGTGCGAGGAATTGCCGCAAGGCCTCTTCGACCCGGCGGTTGTGTGTCGGTTCGACCTGACAACCCTGTCCCCCTCGTCCTGTTTTCAAACTAGCCGGCCGTGGTGCCTGTAGCAAGACTGCCCGACCCGCCTGATGCCCTTCGTCTCGTCAAATCACTGCCCGGCCTCCACATTTGCCCCATTCATTCCCCGAACTGCAACCCTGCTTTAATTTTAGTCCGCACCATACCACCGCATGTCCACCATACAAGGTTGATGGGGCAGAAAGGGGTCAGGAAAGTCTGAGGGTGGACGCAGCGGGATCCCCTCCTCCATCTTAGTCCTTCATCTAACTGTACGACTGGAAGGAGTGTTGTGACGGACAACCTCACGGCTGGTGCAGCTTTCCTGCTTTCGGATCTGAGGGGATAGATAGTACGCCAAGAAAGCTTGCAAAATGGATGTGCCCAAGGACTTTTGCGCGCGGGGGTGGAGTTCGAAGTCGGTACTTGAATCTTCGTGTCTGAGGCTCGGCAAAGGGCGGGTGATTAAGGAGGGAGGAAGGAACCTAGGCAAATTTTTTTGTGCAGAAAAAGATGAAAAGAAGAGAGAAAGATCAACACAAGGGCCAATCATGGGAATTGTAGTCTTAGTTGGTGCCATAATGGGGGCCTGGGCGCCAGTGCCTTCACTTTCCACCTTTGAAAGGGTGCGGGTGTGTACGAGGGGATTATCCCGTGGAGTTCTTTTTTTTTTTTTTTTTTTTTTTTTTTGGGACCCGTGGAGTTGCACAACGTGATGCTTGCACGTAACACAAAGCTCAGAATCTGAGGCGCGGATGCTCTCAGTTGAGAGCGTCGAACCTGGTCATCCTCGTCGTTGCGGCCCATGTCAGCGAAACCCAACCCGTGTGGTTGCAATCCTCGCGCCTACACTCAGAGCACCGTGTCTTTGTGGCCAGGGGTCATCGTAAGCTCATTATATTATGTGGAAAAAAGTTCAAAAAACAATACAGAATAAGGCTTCCCCGACCCATATCCCAACATTCAGGGATTGAGTGGGTCGGCGGGAAGTGGATGAACTCTTCATGGTGCAGGGGGAAGATGCTAGCAATGGCACGACCACTTGTTGCTGGTCTAACTCAAGGCGGACTCAAGGCTGAAGAAGCATATCCCCCACACACTCCAAAAGACTCTTCCAGGAAGGGCAGCAGACGGGGCTACATCAGTTTCAACAAATAGAGCTCAAGTAGGGGAAGGGTTTGGCTTCCAGCCCAGTGGGAAATGGCTCTCGGATTATACGACTAATGACTGTGGCTCTCGGATTATAAGACTAATGACTGTGGCCCCAACTCAACGCATTGCATTGCTGATCCGAGGGACGCTGGACCCGGTTTCCAGCAGGTGCCACTCCCCACCAATAGATGTAGCGGCCTGCTGGCCGAGCCCTCAATTCTGGCGGTTCTCCTACCACTGCCGGGATGTGGAGGATGTGAATGGGGTGTAGCAGATTAATACTTACCATTGGTCTCCAATTCTCCTCCTGGCAACAGCCAGGAGACCTGTGTATGCTATCACTCTTCATAGGCCTGTGTATACTATCACTCTTCATAGGCTGTCATGTAGGCATCATGTAACTTAAGTCTGTTGTGTAGGTTTACCTGTCAAAGCTCAATCCCAGCAGATGAGCCTGGTAGCTTGGTGTCAGTTACAAATGCATGTCTGTTAGTCTAGCTGTGATCACAACATTGGTACATATCATCACTCACCATAGGATGTCATGTGGACAAACAGCCCAGACAGCTGTGTAGTTCTACCTGCCAAATTCCACTCTCAGTAGGTGAATTTGACATTTTTGCTATCAGTATGATTGCATGTCTGTTCACATAAACAACTAACAATGTTCTGGGACGCTGGACCCGATTTCCAGCAGGTGCCGCTTCCCACCAATAGATGGAGGCCCCTGGGAAATGCTAGTGGTGTCTGCTCTTACCAGCTCCCTTATCATCCGCCGGGGTGTTCTCTTAAAATAAAATTAAAA